GGCATCTTGGACAAAGGTTTTTGTCGTTGAGTAGAATGGATGCCCTTGTTGCAAAGGGTATGGGGACTGCACATTGTGGCGTAGGATGGGTATTTCGCTTGCAGAGAAGGCAAAAGCGAGGAGGTGGAGGGACTGGACGAGATTTTGTTTTAAGGGTCTGCGTTGGGATAGGGGGAGTAGTTGAGGAGTGCTGGTTGACTAAGGTTGGTAACGGATACACGTCAAAGAATGGGTTAAAATGCATGAGACGTGATGGTCTCGGAGAGGGAGGCGATGGGGTACGTGGAGGTCTGGGCCAGCAAGTTCTTGTGCTAGGAGATTGAGGGCGTAATGGTCTCGGAGAGGGAGGCGATGGGGTACGTGGAGGTCTGGGCCAACAAGTTCCTGTGCTGGGAGATTGAGGGCGTAATGGTCTCGGAGAGGGAGGCGATGGGGTACGTGGAGGTCTGGGCCAACAAGTTCTTGTGCTAGAAAAAGGTTCAGGGCTCCGAGACCTGGGTGGAGTTTGGGTTATGGGTTTGGATACACAGGGTTGAAATGTAGGGGTTGGGCATGGTGGGGCTTTATATTCGGCATGATAGACGAGCTCCGCCAACACCTTCTGGAGAGGTGTTTGGGAGGTAGAAGGAGGGGGCGATGATTTGGTTTGGGCGGGGATAGGGTTACGAAAAGTACATATAGAATTATCTACTACAACAGATACAGGCTTAGAAAAAGAGGAATTTGAAAAGGAGGAGGATTTTGATGATGAGGAGGAAAAGGAGGAGGAAGAGGAAGATGAAGAGGAAGAATTAGAGCGGTATCGGGAGAATGGTGGTGAGGGCGAGGAAGACGACGATCTTGATCGTTTTCTGCTGAAGCGGCTCGAAATGACGGGGAGTGTTTTATTGGCAGAGATCTAAAAACTTGAAATGAAGTGGTGATGTGTTAGTAGTCTTTCTTTTCCACAGGTATTATATGGAAGTATTTAGGCGGGATGTGAGCGGCGCTCTAGTGTAGCTGAGGCAGACGCGCGCGTTCGCGGCGCGGTCAACTGCGCGTTGGCGCCGAGCGTTACAATTTAAATTTTGGCGCGGGGTTTTGGCGTCATCTCATTCGGCCCTTATTCCTAGCTGCTGTATGGTTGTTTTCTTCTTCTTTTCTTCGTATTTTCGCGAAAAGATTATAGGATTACGTTATTGAGTTACCAGATAGATTTTGCATATTTTAGTGGTTTTTGTTTAAAAATTGTCACGTTGTTCATTCGCTAATTGTCGTTGTTTGTTGTAGTATGCTAGGTTATATTTTTTCTTTTAAATGGCTCACTCCGTTGATAGAAGCTTTTGCTCCTCGCGTTGTTCAAATCGAGGAGTGTGTTTCGCAAGCGGTGAGCAATTCTGGTGTGTTTG